ACAAATAGTTAGAAAAGAATCTCTCAGAAACGGTGTCGTCAATCTGTCTTGTGCGGCTAGTCATCGCTGCACTTGCAAAATGCGATTCATGATCTTTCTTTCTCTTTCTCCTTTTCTTCTTGTCTTGTCTATAAACGGGCGCGGAGAAAATAGCTTTCAATTTGACAGACGCATCAGCTGATTGCTTTAAACGCCAACTCACAGGAATGCTGGAGAACGAATTATAGATAGCTAATAGGTCAATAAAACCGCGCGCAGGGTGAGACGTGATTGAATTTACAATGTTACCGGAAATTTCACGGTCGTGTTTATGCGAGAAAACGCGTGGCACGCAAATGCGTGCGCATAAAATCGACGTCGAGAGGGAAAGCTACATCCGTTAAAGTAGCTGTATCCTTCTATCAGAAAAATAGCTGCGGTTCAATTGCTGCCGATGCTATCTTTTTGGAATCCTTAGTATACGTTGAATGCAAGAATCATCTGACGCGTCTGCCAAAAAATTTCTCAGACTCATCCATGACTGGCAACAAGTGCAAATATTTCGATTCTTGATTGCAAAATGATGTGTACCGTTATAAATATGATCCGGAGCATGCATATATCATCTATATTTAAACTCTCGTAACTTGAGATTATACAGGCTTGCGATTGTGCAATCGAAGGATTAATATTCCATATCGAATAAAACACATTTTGATTAATTTCATTTTGTATACACGTCGTCGAAGAGGTTTTATTATTTTCGAATCATTCACTCGATTACACAATAATCAATTTCGTAATAAATTTTTTTATAACTGATCGCTCTGTTCGCTCAGATTGAGCGCGTAAAAACGCGAAGAAAGCGGAAACACGTGAAAAGCCGAACAATTGCCACGAAAGGATGTAATGACAAGGGTGACTTCTATTATATTTGGCTCGATTGATCAATTAAAGAGTGCCACGGGCGATTAATCTCGATATAGAAATGGAGGAGCGTTCGCGAAAATCTCCGCGTCTAAAACAGAATCTGCTAAACCAGTCGTCTCACGTAATGGATTGGAAACCGCTTGTGAATCCCGTAACGACTCCTCACGTTGGAATTATGTCGTCGGCGACATTACGGAATGCCGATTGCGCAAGAACAATTAAGCTCGTTAGAATGGGGAGCAAACAATGAGCGCGAGAAAGTGCGAAATAATGTTCTGTCCGCTTTAATCCATTTGTTCCCGTATCGAGGCTGGACTTTTACGTTGCAAGAATTATGTCACTTTACAGTCACGCATTCCTCATTGTTATTCGATCGGCGAAAATCGCGATTTTGCAACAGTTATAGCATTTCTACGTAACCAGTCTTGCATCTGTGGAAAAGCAAACCATATTTTAATCAGTTTTTAGCGTTCTTGATATAAAAATGACGTATACTTTACCAGAGACTTTGTCTACGAATCGAAAAATGTTTTTAAGACAATCAGGATTATATTTTTAGTCAATCAATTATATAAATTAATTGCAAATATCTCCTTTTAATAAATGAAGATTTATATGAATTAATTAGATATAAGTTTATATTATTGTTTACTTCTCGAATGTATAAAATGTAATTTATGTATATTTTTTATTTTGAACGACAAATACTGAGAGGCTCATTGCGTCAAAACGTATGTTTTTATTTATGTACATATTTAATGTATTAATATACATGTAAATTCAGCACAAAAATCTATCGTATGATTTTTTGGCCTATTATAATTGTGTTTTACTATTTTGACAATAGAAGAGCTTTATTTTTAATTTCTACGTAAGGTACATAAATATTTCAACTGCATATACTTTACCAGAGACTTTGTCTACGAATCGAAAAATGTTTTTAAGACGATCAGGATTATATTTTTAGTCAATCAATTGTATAAATTAATTGCAAATATCTCCTTTTAATAAATGAAGATTTATATGAATTAATTAGATATAAGTTTATATTATTGTTTACTTCTCGAATGTATAAAATGTAATTTATATATATTTTTTATTTTGAACGACAAATACTGAGAGGATCATTGCGTCAAAACGTATGTTTTTATTTATGTACATATTTAATGTTTTAATATACATGTAAATTTAGCACAAAAATCTATCGTATGATTTTTTGGCCTATTATAATTGCGTTTTACTATTTTGACAATAGGAGAGTTTTATTTTTAATTTCTACGTAAAATACATAAATATTTCAGCTGCATAAATAATGCAGTATAAAACAAGATGTACGAATTTTGACGAGGATTATAGAGGCTAAATTTTGCAAGCAAGTTTAAGGAATTGCATTGTCTAGAAACGACGACTTTTTGCCTCGAGGATATCGTTTCAAGCGACTTGTCTTTTTGTGGCGATTTCCATCGTAACCTTCATACGTTAGAGACAGACAGAAAGATAAAGAAAGACTGAGAGAGAGACCGCAGTTTTACATTATCGCTACATCACGTCGTGCTTTTTTGCACAGTAATATTGCCCGATTGTCCATGTGCCAGTAACGACGAGTATTATTTAAAGCGGCTTCCTGCGAGTTCCACTTTGCGTGAAAGGAAGAATCATTACTTGCGGTTCTCTCTCTCTTTCGAGCTACTGCCGACATGATTCTAGACCCCATATTGACCCAGACCGCGTGAGCTGAATGCGCTCTACCATCGCGCATGGTGCTTGGGATCATTCATACGCAAAGACATGTTAATCTCTTGGATTACGAGAGTTTCTCAAGTGTATAAGCAAGAATATACCATTGCGGGAATAATTCAAATACAGGACGATTCTTGAAAAAATGGAAGAAATTTGAGGGAATTTTTGTGAAAAATGGAAAGAGAATTGGGGTGATAAAAGAGGATTATATTTAATTATTGTATAAATTCGAGATGGTAAATCCGGCCGGAATAAAATATCGGTCACGGATGCTGAAAGACACACATCGATTTTTTCGCGAGGAATTTTGCGAAACCGGAGCGGCCAGGTTGCGCGCTTGCGTGAAGAGGATTCGAGCCCCGAAGGGATTCTTGTACGACCTGATATCCCTTCTCTCCCGTCCTCGTCCGTTCATTCCCGTGTGCTTCGACTCCTCGTGTGACTCCTGGCGACTGCAGGATTCTTGCGCTCTGTTGTACATGTCACGAAGTTGTTCTACGATTGTACTGCTCGTTATCAAGATATGATCGTTCAAAACAAAGTTTAATAAACGAGAAGAGATTCATTTATAAAATGAAAAGAGTATTTTTATTTTATAAAAAAGTAACTTCCTGTTTATTAAATGCGCTTTCATCAGAAAGTTTCGAGATATGATTTAGTAGTAATAAATAGATGATACCTCAGAGAGTCTCTGATGTTAATTAGATTCTTTTATAACGAGAGGAGATATGAAGTAAATGAGACAATAATTTGTATATTAGGGGATTTACTGGGATTTTTAAAATCTTATCTGTGCATTGTAGGCAAAAGATAAAAAGAATTCCTTAAATTTGATTCATAAATTTATCTAATCAATATCTATTCATTTATCTCAGAAAATTTCGAGATATGATTTATTAGTAATAAGTAGATGATACCTCAGAGAGCCTCTGATGTTAATTAGATTTAAAGATTCTTTTATAAGGAGAAATATGGAGTAAATAAGACAATAATTTGCATATTAGGGGATTTACTGGGATTTTTAAAATCTTATCTGTGCATTGTAGGCAAAAGATAAAAAGAATTCCTTAAATTTGATTCATGAATTTATCTAATCAATATCTATTCATTTATCTTTTCAAGATATACTCGTTGATGATATAATATTATTTGTTTAATAAGAATTCTCTTTGCAATCCTTACTCGTAATTTTGAAAAAAATCTAATAAAGGGACTTTTTTAAAGTCTACCATAAAAATGCACATAATCTTTTTTTGAAAAAAAAAATGATTTATAAAGACATTCTAGAGAGGAAATACATAAGAAGAAATACTGTAATCAAACTGAGAGAGAACCATAAATACCATTATTATCGTGACATAAGCAAGTTTTTGTTCACGTGGAGATCGTAAAGTATTGAAGTCACGGGAATCGATAAGATTATAATCATTTATATCGCAATTTAACATCATTGTAACTTTGCTCTCACCGATTGAAGGATTACAGGCCGATCATCGGTCAGACAATTATGATATATTAGACTCATATCGATCGAGGATATACCGTTATCCTGTCATCCACCTGCCCGTCATTTTTGGGCGTCGATTGACGAGTGCGGCTGACATGGAAATTGGAACCGTGTTGCCGGAAGTGAGGCTTCCATTAATGACGAGTGCACATAACGAGGAGGCATGTTCGCGATCCCTTTGCTAGAACCGCAAACAGGAAATCCGTCATTCGTTCAATTCGGCACTCGATGTAATTATCATGAAGCCAATTAATAGAGCGCTGGAATACGGATACTCGGGCCGGGTCATCGATCAACGGGAGATTATTGATATCGGAACCCGCGTTACGTGAATACGTTGTGAAGTAGCTCCAACGTCATGGTATTTAAATGGGGAACGCCTGGAAACTCCGCTCGTCGAACCGTGAACCGGTTCGCACGAATCGTGCGAGCGCCGCTTGTACGCCCTTCGCATTGTTTCGAATTGATTAGAAAAGAGCGTACTGCATTAAACGAGACAGAGATAATAAGGTTGAAGGATTATCTATGTGAACACAAGTGGCTATCTTTCTCTCTCTCAGGCTACTCTTCACAATATATACTTAATATATTTCTTATAAGAATATACTTAAAATTAAATTTAATGATACTAAGGATCATTGTCCTGGAAAAGTTTTATTAAATTATAATATTTATTAAGAAAATCACTATATAAATTAATAAGATGATCTTACAATCTAAATTAATTTAGATAAAATTAAAATTTGTTTTCTCGTTGAAAAAATTAGGAACACATATGTATAACATGTAATTAAAAATTTATATTATATTATAAATTATATTTTTAATTTTTGTAAAGGAGAATTTACATGAAAACATTCCTAAGTCACTTTGTTAAGATGTGGACAGATATATTTTTTAGTCTATGAAATAAGTGCAAACAAAATTGAGTTTATACGTAATGTCACAAAATCCAATTAAATTATATTCAGTCTTAATTCATATTCCAAATTTTTGTGCAAAATTCTTGACAAACTGACTTTCTTACAAGCTAAAGCTTTTCTTTATTTCACATGACGTCATCTGCACATGTTTCGCATGTTTGATTATTCTTGCCCGATACAGTTTCATTCTCTGATGTATATTAATGACTCTATTGCTTGCTTCAAGTGGCACATCCAGGCGATCTTTTTTTCTAGGAGCAATATGTATACATATAGCGATAATAGTTATTTTATTCACATATAAATCAAAGTCTGCCATGCACGGCCGGCCTGTATAAATATTTCCGAAATAAATTATCTTAAACTCTATGCGTAATTTTCGCTGAACACTTTTGACGGTTTTCGTTCACGATACTCTACAACGTCCTATATCGCACTTCCATGTGATCCGTTAGAAATTTCTCACGCTTGCTGGTAAATAATTAGCGTAAAATCGCGATTTCACGAGAACACGCTGGATCGATTTCCTTTTTCATTCCTTCGTAATAGCGTGGATCGGTGATTCGATTCTTCATGCTTATTCCATCGGAATCGGTGTCGGGGTGAGCTATTCGATCGCTCGATCGACATGCGAGCGATCTTATGGCGTGCTCGTTGTCTAATTTGTAAGGCAACGATGATCGCGAATAGAAATAAGCGCGAATGGTCCTCTTCATCTCGTAAAAGTCGGTCGTTTACGCGGTAAACGTAACGCTTTACGAAACGTACGTGCGAAATAGTTATTCCCCGCAATATCGTTCAATCTACGGCTCCGAGAACGGAAACTCGAATTTCCGACAAGATGGATTAGACGTGATCGTTTAATCTCCTCGCCTCAGGAACGCGTTTAGAACTTGAACCTTGGCCGATGTCACGGAAGAAGGCTGCTTCTCACGGGCCTCTTGCTGTAATCATCGTCGATGTCGTGGAGATCCGGTGGATCCGCGAAACCGCTGTCTTCGTAACGAGTGCAGCGTGAACCGGGCGATCTCGGTGGATGAACCGGATGAATGCTATAATGATTTAAAAAAGTCATGTGTAATAAAATAACACGAATATTTGTGAATTTAGGATAGAAAATAATTTTCACGAGTGCAAATTTTTTCTTCAACAATTATATACCTCTGCTTATTGAAAGAAAAATTAATATTTATTAATAATTATTTTTATTTTTCATTAATATAAATTAAAAGAAAAATTAATATTTATTAATAATTATTTTTATTTTTTATTAATATAAATTAATAATTATTTTTTTTTCTTTTTTCTCATAAATCATGTATAAGTCATAAATTACAATATCGATTCTTGTAAATTTCAATATCATAAATTTATTTTATTTATTGAATTTTATTTATTGTTTTTTGAATTTCAATATCATTTTTTACTTTTTGAATTTCAATATCATAAATTTATTTTTTGAATTGTAGAAAACATACGACGCGTAAAATAATATCGCGCGTTCTTACTTTACATTTTAATTATTACCTGGTGCACCTCGAGGGACTTGTTTCCAAAGGCTCGTCGTATCTGCGGGAGAGCATCGTAAAGTCGCGATGAGCCGCGACCATTTTCTGCAGCCGCGAAATGATCTCGTAATCGGACGTGCAGATTGGCTCCGACAATAGCTTCGCCACGGAGACGCGGAAGCTCTGGAGCTGAGACAGGAAATGAACGATTTGCGAATTGAATCGTATCTTGCTCGCCCGAGTGTTAACTTTTCTATCCGCCGCACGTTTTGCGAGTTCAGATAATCGTTTCCGCGTATACATAAATGACGAAACACGCATTTTTTATTTATGGAATATTAAATTCCTTTTGTCAAAGTTTTTTCCTAACATATAGAAATGCTTACATTAGTATAAATATCGCTTCAAAAAAGTAGATAAGTTGCACGCGTAGAATCGAACACAATTTTTGCAGAGATCTAATATTAACATGAAAAGTACATCAAATTATTATAATATTAATGAAACTTTTCCGATTGAATAATGATATTTTTTCTCTTTTTCAGTTTATAAATTCCTGACATCTCAGTGCTCATTTTATTAACAGATGTGACGGATATGCAGAAGGAGTACAATATTATACAGCTGAGACATTCTACTTTATACATAATTTATTGTAATTAATGTCACCTTACTCCATCCCTCTAAATTAAAGTTTCGCGAATTAAAGTTCCATGTTTTAGAAAGCGAAGTTACGGCGGAGCAACGTCGGGATAAAGTTCCGCGATGTTATACGCATGATTCGCAGTCCTTTCACGGAGCTTAAATCGAAGGGACTATCTGCTTTACAGGCCGGCGACGCGCGCGAACGTGCCTCGAATTACGGCGATGCAAAGTCACTTCAAATCGTCCTGAACGAGCGTTATGCACCCGACGAGAGAGATCGCAATGGCCGCCATCGCGCGAGTCATTGAGATTGCCACAATGAATTAACGAGCCCCTTTGGCCTGTACCTCTGCGGAGTATTAGCAATAAGCTCGGCGCGGACGTGCTTTAATAAGAGATCAAAGTATTTTGAACTCGTGGCTCGGATTAAGGGTAGCCAACGGCGAATCAACTTTCGCGCGAGAAATATAAAATATGGTTTTTCCAGCATAATTAATTTCGTTTGCTTCCGTAAAGGATTAAGGAACTTTCCCTTCTCTGAAAGAGAAAAAATTTGTATATTATTTAAAAACGATTTATGCATGAAAAATGGAGAAAAATATGTATATGTGATGCACCGAGGCTCTGCCATCGTCTTTATAGCGACTTGTTTTGTGTATTTCAATTCGCGTACGAGAATCATAAATCAGAATTACGGGAATACACGAATGCGCGTGCCGAATACACGATTGGCTATTGAGACAAGCGTTTGCGCATTTTTTCCGCACGCAAAACGTACGATTCCTTGATATTAATCATCAATTTATTCAGCATTCCTGTTTCCTGTCACCTTCAAATTCATTTTGTTCTAAAGAAACGGCAACACGAACTTATGAACACGAAGCGAGATAAAATGGCGCATGCAAATTAAATGAAAGCAATAATGTGTCTCATAATCTCACCTGGGATTCCCTCCTCGTGACATCGGAGAGATTTTGCTTGACCTGAGCGAGCTCGTCGCGGAGAAGCTGCAAGGAATGGTCGTTAATCGATCTTTCCTGGTCGGCTGTCTCCGCAGCCGTCCTCATCTGTTCCTTCGCCATCGTCAACTTTCTGTTATAACGCGTTCTCAACATCTCGCTCTCGACGAGACGCTTCTGAAGCTCCTCTATTTTGCGACTGCGTTCCAGCGCAGCTATCTGCTCAGAAAATGCCATAAAGTAGGTTAAAACGCCTGGATGGATAGATGCAAGATTATGAGATATCCTCTTTTGCTTTCTTGATATACGATAGTAGCTTATAAATATATAAAATCAATTTGATAGAATATTTAAAAAACTGAACGTGTTATTATACATAAATTAAATTTCGTTACAAAAAGATATATATTAGATATGTATCTCCTGCATATTTTATAATATTATTTCATTGTACATACTTAATTATTTTATTATTAGCATCACGAAAAATTATTACTTATTAAATATATTTAGTTTACTAATAGAAATAAAATTTCTCACGAAATAATAAGAATAACTTCAACGTCGCGAATTGAATGCAGACAACGTATTGTTCTCGCAATTATCGCATTAGATTTCGTGGCATATTTCGCGAAGTGCATATTCAGATTTATCTGATTTTAAGAAAGTGCGGACTCTTGAAAATTACGTGCCTTATAATCTGCGGCTTCCGTCAATTGTGCGCTCAGCTCTCGATTCCGCGATTTTTCCTCCGATAATTGGACTTGCGATCGCTCGACCTGTTTCGCCAACTTCTTCGCGCTGAAAGAGAGGAAGGAAAACCACTCGCACTTTTCCCCCGTTTCATTTTTATTGTTTTTTTTTCTATCCATTCGCGCGTCGGGAAAAAAACGATGCCTCCAACACAGCCTAACGTTCACAGGCGACGAACGTATGGAGAAATGCATTCGACGCATTTGGAATAAACCGCGAACCGCCAACAGGAATTATGGGTAACCGTCGGCGTGGAAAAATTACGCTGCATTTCGAAAGCGCACTCGGGACCGGTTAAATTTTCCAATAAACCGCAGCTCCATATTTCTCTCATTCGACAGCCAGTCGATAGGCATTGTTTTCCCGCTGACGTGTTGCATCCGATAGATAGATGGAAGATTGGGGTCAATTGTAACGCGGATTAATTGTCGCAACATCGTGACGATAATTTCAACCCCTAATTGTTATACAGAAGACAAGGAAATAATTTTGACGAACTTTCTCTCTGGATCCCGAGAGTTTCTCGCGATTATTTTAAATTTATTTGCAGGCTGTGCGACGGGAAGCACGGTTAAATTCTGCGCAAATAATAATTTCTACGAGTTATGTCGAGCTACGGTATACGTGTAAGAAAATTTTGCTAAAATTGTTAATGTAAAATTGTAATCCGCCCCAGGCTATTCTAAAACAAACCGTATGTTGGCCTCATCACGTTCGCTCTGCAACAACGATTTCACCCTCACACTGTCCTCTTGCAGAGACAGTTTCCTACGCAGAAGATCCAGATGCAAGTCCCTGCGTTGCAATTGCTCCCGTAGAGTTCGGACCCGACGTTGCAACTGATAAACTACGGATGTCTGCGTGAGACAAACAAAAAGAAAAATTTACATTTGTCAAATACGATTCTACTCGATGACACAATCATTTTCCCGGATATGATACATAGGGTGCAAATATGCAGAACGTAAAAGTGCCGAGTTTTTTCTCGTGCAATCATCGATTTAAGAGCTATTACTTGATGAAGGATAAACATAAACATATACAGATGTAACGCGTGAAATGGAATAATATTGTTGTGAGGTTTCTTATCTGTGACACATACATGATTGCTCAAATATACATATAATTAAATATACGAGAAAACAAATTTTTAATAAAGAAATATTCATTCAAAGAGAAAATATTTTTCTATATCAACATGTTATCGGAGATTATTTAATTAAAAGTTGATGCAAGCGTTCTGTTTCACGTTGAAAAGAGCGATCGCAATATCGATGCGCCGCAGGCGGCTATATTAAATGGAACTTCATTAAACGATAAACTGTCAATTTGAAACAACAATTACGCGCCGCACAAGCAAAGCCCCGGACCAGCATTCAATCCGGCCGCAGAGTATCGGGAAACCTACGGGAACGGAGAAATGAGAAAGGCATCTTTCTCTTTCTAAAGATACTCTACTGAGGGGACGAAATGAACATCTACGAAGAGGATGCCTGAGAATGCTCTGAAGCTTCTCTCTAAGGCGCTTTGCTCGCGCCGAAGGCTTACTTCTTTGAGAGGAAGCTCGTGGAACGATCGCTCGCGCCGAATCCTCGGTAAGGTCGTATAGCTGGAGTACAAATACTGCGGGCGTGCGGTAAGCACACGATTTGCACGACAAAGAAACACAGAACAAAGGAGAAGATGTTAGCAATATGACAGCGGCATCGGAAAGAACGTAATATCGATCGTGCCCTTCACCTTGTCGACTAGTTTGTCGGTTTCCAATCTGGCTAACTGCTCGGCCCGCACCAGCAGCGACTCGGTTAAAAGATCGAGCCCGATTTCTTGAGAGATCTCGTCCATCTGCATCGCTTTGCCCATTCGATCCAAGAAGATCATAAACTAAAATTGTTTATAATATAATTACGTAAAATTAATTTGTGAAAAATGAATAACGATACGTCTGGAATAAATAACTAATATTTTGCATCCAATTAGGACCTCTTAAAATATTATTTTAATTAGAGATTGTTTCTTTATAAATAGATTTCTTTATAGATTGAACGTTTATCTAATTTAAAAAGAGAGAATCAATTATAATTAATTGCATAACATCTTTAGTTCTTTGTTGTTTTACGTTATGTATCAAGACTGTTTTCAAGAGATAGGAACATTTGAAGTCACCGTTTGCTTGTCTCTGCGTAAAGACTCTCTGGAGAGTTCGCTGCTTGTAAGTTCGGATTCCAACTTGTGTATCTTGGCTTCTAAAGCGGCGCGTTCATCCTCCAGGCTGCGCACTTTCATCATCGTGGATTCGACCAATTCGCTCTGTCGATTCGTCGACTCCGTCGCAACGTTCACCTTATCCCGAAGACCTTGTATTTTCTGCAGAAAAGGAAAACGAGCTCATGAGACGTTATAAATATCAATGTCGCTCCGATTAAAATCGTCCTTCATATGCCAAGACCGAAAATATACGAATTTCCCAAAAGTTTCGATATTCCTATGGCATTCTCGACATATATTATAAAAATTAAAATGAGCTATTTCGAAAGTTTCCAATCAAAGAAAATAATTTAGATTTAAAAAAATTCATCTTTTCTCAAGCGAGAATCGCGCATATGTGATTTTGGCTTAAGAGTGACGATATCAAGTGCATGATGAGCTACTAGCGATTGATCCTTGTTGTCCGCCAAGATCTCTCGGATGCGATCCTTAATTGCGTTTTCGTGAGACTCGACGAATCGATTGGGTGTACTGACGAGAATCGCCAAAGACTCGAGGAGATGACGTAGGTCATTTTGTACGCGTTGCGTCTTCTCTTCGCGGGCCTTCAGGTCCTCTGCAAGAGAGGTATAAATTATCAGAGGCACGAATTATCACGAGAGTCAATCAATCGTGAGAGAGTTTACCTCGTAATTGGCAGATGAGCGCTTCTTGATTGGATATATTCCCCGTTGCACTAGTTAAACTTCTGTTTACGGTCACAAGTTTGTCCCTCAGGTCATTCATGTCCTTCTCCGCGACCCTATATTGCATTTCCACGCACTCCTTGTCCTGATATATCGGTAAATAATTAATGGTGTAACATGTCTTTCATGATATTTATTTATAATTTATTTTTAATTTATTTATAATTAGATTTTGATGCTCGAAATAAGTAATAGCTATAGTCATATATTTTAATAAACTAAAAGAGAATGATTTTTACAAATTTAATGGGTAAAATTTTCGTTCTCGTACCTGACGCAGACGATCTATGTCGACCAGTTGGACAGACACCTGTCTCTGTAACTGTTCCTTTTCCGTAGTGGCACGCTCAAGAGCGTCTCTGCAGGTTCTGAAATCTACCTCGATGCCCGTCAACTGCGTCTCGACGTTCGTGCTCTTCGTTCGCAGTCGGTTCACCTCTTGCACGAGCTCCTCGGCTTTGTGAATCACCATCTCTGGACTGTGATGCGCCGTTTCGCAGTACTCGACGTTCAACGCGTGTGCCAACCTTCGCACAAAATCCTGTCAAAGCAAATATCGAAAATGCGATTTTAATGTTCGAGAGAAGAAAAGGTTGATGCGAGTTTTTCCAGCGAAATAGTATAAATGGCTGTGTCAATAGCGTGAAAGCGCATATTGAAATAGCATGTGGCACCTGCAGATTCAGACGTGCGCGCTCCTTCAATTGAATCTCCTCAGATATGTTATGCTCCAATTGTCGAATTTTCTTGTCGTACTCTCGGACCTTTTCCTCGTGGTATTTTACGTCACGTTGCAGACCTTGTATCGTGATCTCACTCCTACCTTGGGATGCATAGAGATTTCTCTCTCTCTCTTCAAGTTCCTAAAATCGTTATTGAATTCTGTGAAACGTGTCGTGAATCTACTATCTTATCGACTACGGATTCTATGAGTTCGTCGTCGAAATTTTCTTCACCGAAGAGACGAGTAAAAAGGAAGAAACAAGTTATCTCGACGAGCATTAACGAAGGAATCCTTTAATCGTTCGCTTATTGCAGAAACAAATTAACCTGAATGCGTTTCTTGAGACTGGAAACGACGGAATTTTGCCTGGCTGCTTGCTCTCGAAGCTGATCGGCTTCCACCTGCAATTCCACGACCCTCTGGTCCCGCGATCTCACGATGCTCTTCATCTCTTGCAGCTAAATAAGCGCCATTGAATTAATAACGCGATCCATTCCGAAGCGAAGAACGGATAATCTGGTTTACCTCGGACATGAGCCTGTCTCGTTTGTACTCGAGAGCTGCCAATTCGCTCCTCAAAGTAGTCGTCAGATCATGAGTCATAGCGTTGTCCGGATTCACCTGGAACCAGACATTCAATTGCCTCGTTTTCAAAGCGAATAAAAATATTTTTACATTGTTGTATTTATTTAAAGCGCTCAGGATTTTTTTATAGAAATTTCTTTTAATTATCCCGAGAATTAAAAGTTTCAAATTGTGATTATCTCTAGGATAGCATCGAACGGATAACATCGAATGTTTAATGAACAACAATAAATAAGCTACGTGAAAACGTCGGTCGGTGATAGACATGTTTGCTTACTCATTACCGTCGTTTTCATACTTTTACGAATCTCTCAGTTGCATCTCATAGTTGCATCTCTTGCACACGAAAGAAGTTGGAGTGACAATTGCTATAAATTATCAATCGTGCTGTGTGTATCGCGCCAAGTCGTAAACGGGACTCCCGTTGGGTTTCGCCGCAGGCGGGAGGAAACTCGTCGTAAAGAAGGCGATTTTATTTCCCGAAGCCCTTTCTACCTTGCCGAGAGAAGACTTGATGCCGAAGCGTTCGTTTAAAAGCCGAGAATAGATTAGCGGCTTCTGAAGTTCCGACCTCCGACCTATGCCACGCTCAGAGAGAACACGAAGATTCGCGAGTACCGTAGATATACCTATGATCTCTGCCGGCGGTAACGACGTCCATTTAAGCCTCCACGACGGGAACCTTACAAGGCGATTTGCGCCTCGATTTGCGTCTCAGCCATTAAGAACGTCTGAAATTGCCGCCGTAGAAATGTCGACCACAATGTGTAAGTCGGCTCATCAAGGCTATTCTTAGAACGGTATTCTTGGATATTCATGTATTTTAAAATGCAACGAGATTAGACCAAATATTATTAGCATTATTATGAATTTTTTGAAATTCGTGAAATCGATTTTCTTTTGTTATCGTATAGAAATATTTCCCAATGAAAGAGTAACTGACGCTTAAGGATGTTTTGTACCTATTTTCAAAATATTGAGAATTTAATGAAAATTGTACAGAATGTCCTTACATATGTTTAGAATCTTCAGTACAATTTTTAAATCGATTCACTAATGCGTTCACAAGTTATAAGCATTTTAATTCGCACCGAATTAACATATGTTCTTATGGGAAACGTATAATCGTCGATTCAAATGACAAAAACACATGGAAATAATATTCAGAATTTGTTTAAAATTTGCAAAAGTGTAGTTTAGATACAGAGAAAATATTTGGTCAAATAATATTATACAAGTACTAACTGATTAAAAAGATATTAAATATAATTCAATGAAATTAGCCATGTATCTGTCACAAGGCAAAATTTTCTGCCAAAAGTTAATCATTTCGATTAACAAAATTCGGAATATTTCAGTAAAATAATAAATATTAAAAATATATCTCTACACTGTAGCTAAGATCAATTTATAATATTCCACACAATTTTTCAAAATACACTAAAAGTGGATATTCGTCAATATTGATTTTCAGTTACTTTTTGCTGGAATTGTACATACAAAAAAAATCTTTAATTCCTTCCAATTCTATAAACATCAATCACTTTAATTTTATATAAATATTTTTAATATTTTTTTAGTCTAGAAAATGAGATTAATTTTATTCTCTATTTTCTTATTTTCAAGCATAACGATATTTTGCTAGAACATTTCGGAAAAACATTGTGAAGAAGAGGCTATATTAAATGAAATTGCCTGCGGCAAAATTCGAATGAGTATTATTGAAAAATAACAGTGGAAGTATTTTGCGTTCTAAAATATACATACATATACCAATATTCGAGCGAATCAACAGTGATACGTCAAAGGATTGCGTTTCACATATTGCCTGAAAATATTTTTTTAGATGCAATTTGCTAAGAAAATAAAATACACGATCGATATTATGGATTACTTTACACGTTGATCAACACAAATCCGTTAACTCGCGATGAAATGTGATTCGGCTTTAAAATGATGATTAAATCCATCAAGCCATATTGAAAGGATGCAGCGGAATGTCCGAATATTATTATTATTAAGCAACGAATATACGGTTGATATATTTATATCGATAATTATCGTCGTTCTAATTAAATATTTCACGGTGATCTAACTCGTCATACACGCAGAATTTCTCTCGTTTTTATGCCGATTAATACATTCGATGCGTTTAATTACTTTTTAACGAATCTGACTCGTTATATGATTCACGTGAAATTAAATATATCCCGTTGAATTATTCTCACAACGTGAAATTAAATACACATTCAATGGGGATTTATTTCGTTGTAATTACGATTACAAACAGTCTAAAAGTTTTTACCTGAAAAAATAATGTACATAAAATCTCTCTTTCTCTCTCTTTCTTTTTTTCTTTCATCTTATTCGCGAGTTCGCAAACGCGGGAATAGATTGTAATATAACTTTGTAATAACTATCTTATTCCGTTTGAATGCAAACAAAAGTCGGGAATGAAATGATAATGGAATAAACACGGTGCAAAGTTGCAAATGAAAATATCTTCATGCATAGGAAACTTACACATTCATTCTACTACTATGACATCTAATACTCATACTGATTGGATTGCATTTAGTTAACGAAGAAGCTTGCTCCACTTTTAATAACGTATTCAAATATTTCATTCTACGAAATGCATGACGTGAAATTAATTAAAAGTGAATTAATTGAAAGTAATCATTAATATAACTAATAATTAAATTCTCGTAAAAAGATAACGATTCTTCTAATAACTTTCAAATTTCCTTGGCAGAAAGAGCAATTAATCGCGAAGGTACCACGTTCCTAATAGCACTTATTCTCACAGTCGAATCAACTTCAACGACGTGTTCCATTTAATGTTCGTTCGAAAACATGATCAATTACCTAGTCTTGCCCATTGGATCTATTCTCGCAGGAATCCCTCCACACGATAGTGTTTACGTGCCAGGACGCTTCGTATTCCCAAAGCCCGCTCTTCAAGTTCGAATAGAATACTCGACGCAGAATTCTCGCATTCGAAGTCATGGTAACCGATCGCAAATATTGTTTCCATCCCTCGCGAGGAATGAGACGCTCTTGCGACCGTCGCCAATTTCTAGGACAATCGGATACACGCGCGGCACAGGCAGTTACAATAGTGAAGTTTCGTCTGCTTACGACGGCGGGTTACGTGACCCGAATTGTACCAGGGCCGACCCCGCGGCCTCAGATATCTGCACGCGAAAATCTATGCTCGCGAAGTCTACGTCATCGGAGATATCGGGACGAAAATATCATCGTGGAACCGAACACGGTACAATAAAATACCCCCATTTAGGGGTTAATGTATCCGCAATAATGTGCTTCTCACACAGAACCTTCTAATTTTAATGAGTACAAAGCATGGATACGTAAGATATGATATAAAATATAGAGAAAAGAAATAGATAAAAAGAACAAATTTTTATTTTATTTTATTTTCGATGAAAATCTGTTATTTTTTCTGATTAAAAAGCTTTCAGATTTTTTCGATATACATACGATAGTAGTTTCAACGTAAAATTGAAAGGAAATGCACGGGATATTGCGTTCATCCGATGTATGTCGGGGACGAATTAACATCTATCACCGGTCTGGACGAGTTTACGAGTGTTTAATTCAATGTGTACTATCTTCCTGGGAATCAGATTAAAATCAGAATCCGCGATCCTGTGTACGTCGCATCAATTATCTCGCGATTCAATTATGCGACAGGTCGTCGACCGAACGGGATTCGTGTTATTATATCTCTCCTTCTCTCTTCATGATCCGAAAACAGTTTCAATGGCTGTTGTTAATGGCACGATTCCGTGTCTCGTAATACCGCGAATTTCCACGGTGCTTAAACCGATATGATATTGAATATAATTTATTATATTCTGCCAGGGTCTCCAATAAATATCCCGACAGTCTCCGGGAACCGCGCGACCTGTATACAGTTGATATTTACTCGAAAGCGCGCCAGCGAGCTCTGCTTACACTGGAGGGATTACAGCAGAGCCAGCGTGAGGCATCCTGTGCACGTACTCGTGTAAAAAATTTGTAAATTCCCCATCATGGTCTCTCTCAGCATTTTGCCGGCACAATGCGAACACGAAATTTCGTACGCACGATCGTAATAAAATCGCAATAAAATTGCAATGAAAGTACGTGAGTGTTTTAAGAAACAATGTTAAAGTAATTTAAATCTTGCCTCTTCCTCCCCGTTGAAAGTTTAAATGATACACCGCGAATCTTACACCATCTCAGTTCATTAAAAGTGAAAAAAGTTGTCACACGTAAAAAGAATGAATGTACGCGCCTTGCATGAGCAACGTTTGCTCCTGTACTTATGTTAATCTACATCATGATTTACACGTCGCCGGCATGTTTACATTACATTTAAGAGCATACTGTTGAATAAAATAATATTGTGTTATTCGATGAGAGAGATATTACTTCAATCAAATGCGATATAACAATTTTTTGCAAGATTTGTATCAAGAGGTTTTTGAAGCGATTAAAATATACGATATTGCATTTTTAAGAAAATGGCGATTAAACTCTCTCTATGGGTTTATTTAGAATCCAATATTCCCAATGATACTTTAATAAATATTGATCGACCACTTTCCTTTTTATGAATTTTGTTTCATATTATATCTACATGTAAATGAAATTTATATTGCAAACAAAATAAGCGATTATATTTATCTACATTTTTTCCGTCGAAGATAAACATTCATCTATATTAACTTTTATAAGAGTAAGCACAAGTACAAATATTCTCGATATAATAGATAAATATTCTCCCTCGCTGATGCTTTATATACAAATATTTCACATTAAATAAAGAGGTAAAATCTTTATATAGTAAAAAGATTATATAACAAAATGCAAAAACATAAAATCCTGGATTTGTATTCGAATAAAATTAAATTATATTTTTTACAAGATCGTACTAATTTAGGTTATTAAGTTAATTATGTAAGTGTATAATCATATTTTCTCATATAGATATGTTTGATTTTTAAAATTACAATATGTGTTCTAATATTTAAGAGGGAAAGAAAATTAGAGAGCTAGGGAAGGAATCTAAATTTATTCCGGAAGCAAGCCTATTAAAATGTACAGATAATTAAAGCTGCGAAATATCGGTATATAATAATATGTCAACAAATATAGCCGATATAGAATATTGAATTGAATTTATTTGTTCGTTATAATTATATAGGTTAACATAATTATATGCAATGCATCAAAATAACTGGATATCAATGAAATCAAATCTATATCTATACAATTACATACATATCTATACAATTATACTAATATTATCTAACTCTCTAATTATATAAACTAATATTATTATATTATTACTATTTTATATTTTTAAACGTGATTTTAATAAAGATATATGATTCATTTTCTATGTAATTTTGAAAAAAAAAAAGGATTATATTTAGCATATATTTAGAGACACTAAGAGAAAGAATAATAATGGACAGTTTGAAACTTTTAATAAGACAAAATAATAAACAACGCAGATTGAGAAATATATTTTTTAATCACATATTATAAATTGAAAGTTAAAATAAGATAAAAAATAAACTTTTAAAGATTGCTTTGAAAATTTTTAAAATTTATGACATTTTCTAAATCTGCAAAAAAAGGAAGAGATATTTTCAAAAGCCTAAATGTCAAATCAATTTTAAAAGATGCTTGGGACGAAATTAAACGTCGGACATCGATAAAACTCGATGAAATCTAGCGAAGTCACCAGCGCGACCTTTCCCTCGCGCACCCAACCAAGATAAGTCAATCCCTTTTCGGTCGTGTTCAATAAATTAAGATCGACTTCGAAAGCACGCGACAGCGCGTGTGGTCGTTTGGGGTAGCAGCGACAGGTGAAATCGATTCCCTGTGCAACGCTATGGCAACGCGACCCTTATTCGCGAGTCGATAAGCGGTCGCGCGATTCGCGCGAGTCCGGATGAGAGAAAAGGGAGTGATAATGATGAGAGCGCGTGACGGAATCCTGCCTGCAAATTAGACGCACGAATCGTCTAATTACACAGCAATCAGCAACGAGGCAAGAGACGGTCTCGAACGATGAGTTCGGAGATACTCGAGACACAGGATTACACGGATCATGTGATTTGTTTATTTTCCATGATTGTTTAATATAAAAATTAATTTGTTATTCCTTTATTTTTGCTCCATCAATTGTAACAATTATTTAGCAGCATCGCGACACGTTTTGCAATATTTTAAACTCGAATAATTTAAAAAATGAAATGTTATTACGCAGAAAGAGAAGAGAACGCATCTGGACATTGTTAGACAGACTTGAATAATTTGAATTCTGCATTACAATGGCAAATTTTCATCTCTTGCATTTTTCAAGAAAGCAGAAATGTCACAGCAAAACTCGGAATGTACGCAAGAATAAAAAGAAAACACTGAAATCCTTTTATCACGAGAGACACGACATACTTTATACTTCTCAGATCTCTATGATTCCTACGTAATTTTTCTATGATCAGAAATAACCGCGTTCCAAGACGACGAATCGATCCAATGGCAATCAATGACCCATCGAATAATCATGCCGATCGTGTAAAGTGATCAATATTGGGCATTTCTGCCATCGATCTGTTGCCCTTCGATAGACACACCGTGTACTGGCATGCATACAATGAGAGCCTTTGTGGTGGGTGATACGGGTATGCACGTGACCGCACGTACGATTAGCATGTGAATGCGTATGTGCATGTGCATATATATATGTACATAAGCACTGATGCAACGACAGAAGGGGCGATAAGCCAGTGTGATATAGTTCGCGCGATATATCACGCGCATTTACGACTCTCTAAAATACAAAAACTCTTCATAAAATTCGAGCAAAATTCTGTTCAAACTTAACGAAAGATGGTAATCCATTATATTCAAGCGTAATTTGTTACATTGTATTTAGAAAATATCGGAATAATTTTATAATCATGATAGTAAGCTCTAATTATATATTATTTCTCATCATGCGTATTTATTCTTGCAAAATATTTATTGCGATTAGAGGGATTATTTCACAAAAATATAAATATTCTTAGTGCTTTACTAGTTTTAATAAGCTCCTAGCAATAATATTCGTAAATATTATCATCGTAGATTCCACGTCAGACATATTTTATTTAGCAGAATAAAAATATACAATTTCGTGCTCCACACTTGTGACAAATAATTCTGATTCTTCTTGAACGCTACTCTACACGTGTGCGAAAAATGACGTATGTGTGTATACAATAGCAGTGCGTGAACGAGTGCGCGTGCATTATATGGCGACCGACAGGTCGCAGGTGAGAAGACGCAGATGGATTGCCATCGATTGACCTTCTGCGGCGACGAGATGCAGAGCGTCTCGAAGATCCTCAAGTCCTCCTCGGCTTCCTGCGCCTCCCGCGTCTCGGCGTCGTCAGACGCCATCCCGTCCTTCCGTCCTCGGGCCTCCTAACGAGCGGGGAGAGAGACCTCAACGCGAACGCGACATTCTCGAACGCGAAACAGGCCTGCCTGGGAACGGGCAAGAACCAGCGGCGACGCCGACGAAGCGCCTCCGCGACTTAAACGCCGACGAGCGTCGCGACGCGTGCGATCGAAACGCATCGATCCGAGAAAACAGCCCGCGCTCTTTGCGCGCGCTTCCCTCGAAGTGAAGGAGCCGTCCGAGGCTCTGCTGCTTCGATAAAATGCCCGACTTTCTTGCATAAAGACAATGCAAGCCTTTCTCTTTCTCTCTTTTTTTTGGTGAATTTTAGAATTTTAACCTAATATTAGTTTATAAATAAATAAATATATATTATTTACTTATTTATTTTATCATGTTTTCTCTCTTTTTTTATAGTGGATTTTAAAACTTTATCCTAGTTGTTGATATTAGTTTTATAAATATATAAATATATTATTTACTTATTTATTTTATTATGTTATTTAATGGAAAAAATAGAACATATATGTCTCTCTCAATGTTTAAAATATGTCTCTCACAAATTATTTGTTTTAAAATTCGTTCGAAAGGATAGTATAACACAAATTGTAAAATCGTGACTATATTATTTTATCCTGCTTCGTTTTATTTTGACAATATTTATATAAAATATGAGAAATATTACGCACGTTTAGCGAATAATTGATTGTAAAATAAATTTTCGATAATGAAACATGAATGCATGTGTGTCCCAATTTTGTTATCTCTCTAAAAATATAAATAACTTTGTAGGTTAATTATTAATAGAATATAACAATAACAATTTATTATCGACTATCATTTTCTGTCTTTTCAGAAATTTATGATAGCAATTTTATCATAAATATCTTCTTTATTTTATATTTTACTTGCGCAGATTTCAAAGTTTCTTGAGATGATTTTTCATCATCCTTTTTTTTAATAATAATTGATGAAGAAAAGAAAATTTTGGCATGGCCATTCAGCCATTTTCTATCATCCTGCGCGAAAGGAGTAGGTGGCACCATCTGTAGCATAATTTTGCATTTCTCTTCATAAATTCAGCACTTTTGATCTAAGGATCTTATTAAAATAACTTTCTATATTATCGACAACTGATAAATATAATTGTTATAAAAAATTAAATATTTTACACAATTTCTCTTAAAATAATAATATTTTTATGAAAAATACTTATGAAAAATTTTTATGAAAAATAAAGTATTATAAGATAAAGTATAAGATAAACAAGATTTTATATTGATTACCGATAATTCAAAATGGCTGCCGCTTCATAACACATGTTTTTGACGTCACGTGTTCACGCGTGCATTTGCGGTATTATTTATATAGTGATTATAACAATGTTTTCTCGATTTTGTAAATTGTGTCACAAAACTGCAAATGTCCAGCTTGTGCAATTGCAAAGATATCACGTAAGCGCAATATTTCCTATCTGTCTTAGCTTATTTTGTACATTATAATATACACATCAAGTGTAAAGACAATGCAAGCCTTATAAATAATAATCTTTAATAATTATAAGTAATAATGTAAAGACAATGCAAGCCTTATAAATAATAATCTTTAAACTAATAATTAAATTAATATCATGCACACAGAAGAGAGGTACCAAAAGGAAGAGTAATGTCAATCGCCTTGAGATTCCAAAAAATACAGAAGGAAAAACACCAATAATTGTCTACAAACGGAAAGAGTTGAACTTTTATGAAGGACAAAAATATTCTAAATTTGAACCTATACCACTGGCAAGTAAAGGATGGCATCATTATAAGTCTAAAGGGGATCATTTCTTCATATATCCTCTTACAAATGTATGGTATTATTTATTAATTTTTCATTATTTTTTTCTTGTATTACTTTTATTTATTATCCTAAACATGTATTGAACTTTCAGGTGGAAGAAGAGGCATATAATAATGAATCACATAAAAAAGAAGAAGAAGCATGCGAAACCTTTGCACAGTTTGGCTTAAATCCACAAATAATAAAAATCTTAGAAAACTACAGAATAACAAAACCTTTGAAGATACAAACATTAGGAATACCTCGAATAATGAATGGTGCCAATACTGTCATAGCAGCTGAAACTGGTTGTGGGAAAACATTAGCTTATCTTTTACCCATGATAGATAAAGTTTTACAATGGAAAAAGTTAACAGAGGACCGATACAATTCTCCGTTAGGGTTGATTATCACACCTACTCGAGAACTAGCATTTCAAATTGGAGTTTGTATTGTATAATAAATCAAAATATATAATTACTTAATATTTACTTGTCTTTAAGAAATAATTTTTTCCACAGCTAGAAACAAAGAAAATATGTCAACATCTTAATATTCAGGTACAAACCATTACTGGTGGAAAAACAAAGAAGATGCTATTAAATCCACCTGTGAGCCAAGTCGACATTCTTGTAGGTAGTTTTGGAGTCATTAGTAAATTAACCACATTTAAAGTTTATAAATTAGGCATGGTCAGATCTATCGTATTAGATGAAGCAGATGCCTTATTTCATGAAACATTTCAAGAAAAGTTACAAATATTCTTGAAAAGAGTACCGGTATATATATTTATATATACATTTTTAAAATTATTTACAAATTATATATTTAATATTTAGAAATATAATATAATCTCAAAATCTTTTGTTTTCAGCTCGGCTTTGAGCAAAATGTATACAATGATACCGAATTACCTACAGCCGCCCAATTCGCATTAGTATCTGCAACGATGCCTTCAAGAATGTCAACAATTCTAAACAATATCATAGATGTAAGTATCTTTTCAAGATTAAGATAGTATAAAAATTGTATTATACTTTATTCTTTTACAGGTGCAGTCATTGGTACAAATAACTTCAGATAAATTACATCACATTCTCGTGCCACAAAAATTTGTAAGAGTAGGACCGGATGATAAACCGGCAGAACTTTTAAAATATATCAAGCCGAAAGTAGCTAATAGGGAACAAGTAATCATATTCAGTAACACGAATAGCACTTGCAATTGGGTCAGTATGTTCCTGGAGAAATGCAATATAGCAACAGTTCGCATGAACGGCGAGATGCCGTTGTATGACAGGCAAAATAAATACGCCAGCTTCAAGAGTGCTAAGTGCTATGTGTTGTGCACTACAAACGCGGGATCCAGAGGATTGGATACTGTAGCGATACATCATGTGTTAAATTACAATTTCCCAATCGCAACTGCTGATTACATTCACAGGTATCTTACTATCTACACAATCTGTCTCTTATCTTACATGTATTATGCATATAGTATGTATAGTATTTTGTGATACGACATATTGTATGATACTTTCAGATGTGGCAGAACCGGAAGAGTCGATAACGTCAAGGACTGTAGAGTAACGAATTTTATAAGCACTCGGGCGGAAGTCGATGTGGTGCAAAAGATAGAAAGAGCATTTCGAAGGATGAAACCGATACCAATATTTGATAATCGCGATGAAGCGAAGGAAGATGACATTTTGAATTTATCTGAAATCCAAGATATTGATGAAACAAATGAACAACAAGAATTTAGCATGCCATACTAATGCAATTATGTAAATAAATATTTCATTTAATATGTATATAATTTCATCGCGATTATTATATAAAATTATACGAATAGTCAACATTAATAATCGCATTTCTTTTTCCGCTTGATTTGTATAATCAAGTTTCTGAATCGAACAATAGGACAGCTGCGAGGATAATACTTTACGAGAAAACTTTCGAATGGGTCGTTCGATGGAATCAACTAATTAGCGAAATGTTGATGTCCTGTTTGATCTCTTCTCAGAGACTTTATCTCGAATAATTGTCCTCCACCCGAAGTGATGAACTTCTCGAATTAATTAACGTAGCCGTATGTCTTATCTGTAACAGAACTTTCATTCATACTTTCCCTTTCTTTTCGAAATAAATTCTCATAATCCATTTATCTCTTATACACGAAAGGCAGTCGAAGGCAAATTTCATCCGTTTCCGACGACGCGCTTATCAATGTTGGCGCAACGCATTTGCCAGATGAGAAAATTAATCGAGCCCTCCCTTCTCTCTCATCGCTCCGTCACCGTCCAGCGGTTCCTTTTATCGCGCCAATTCCTGAATTCTGAGTTTCTGTTCTAGGGAGAGGAAACTGCGACCCACACACACGTGCGTGACATGCCTCCGACCGATGTCCCTCGTCATGTCCGGCGGCACTCCCACATAGTAAACGCCCACACGCGCGGTAAATAGTAATGGTTTCCCCTCCAGACAACGCTGGTAGACCTTGTGTCTAGATCTCTGTCAGTTTATTATTCGCGCGCTGGGTTTTAGCAAAATTAAATGCAACCGGCACGCGCCGACGATCCGTGCCCCTGTCCACGTGCTGGGTGCGCCGGATCGTGTCACTGCGATAGGAAGGACCCTCTGCGTCCCACGAGACGAGGGGGATAACGCCTCGAAGCAGCGAATTATCACTCGTGCCGAATGTCATGCGTGAATGATTAGGATTTATTCATCCTAAGCATCTACGTTTAATGCCAGCGAATAAATATTTCGCATGGAACGTTGCTGGATAATTGAATTTGTGTTATTTAATTATATTTTTGCTCTATTTTTTTATTCTTTTTTATTATATTTTTATATCGATATTTTCTTTCTTTTCAGAGTTCTTTTGATCTTTGTTCGTCGTGTCATCTTATATTCTTTACTGGCTGTTGTATAATCAATCGAGACGGCGCTCCCGGACACGCTTCTGTGATGTATTCATGATTTAATATGCGTCGTTAACGCGCTCCTGAAAGAGTATACCAAAGCCAGTCACACCTTTAGTATATACTCTCATTAAAGTTACATACAGTGAACGGTGCGTAAGCTGTGTTCGCCGAGAAACAGTATAAACCCGGGTAGTGCCGGTAGTGACGACCGCGATGATAATGGATTAATTAGCGTGGGCAGCCACATGACATTTAGGACAAGAGCGGTACGGGATCAGGCGATTCAACGCTCTCCACGCGGGAGATCTCGTCTCTGATCTTAACCAGACGTGGTTTACGCCACACGCGCGGCTTCTGACAGGCGTCTACTTTGATCTCCGATGTTCCGTACGCGCGTTCGGTTTTTTACTCTAATGTGTATCTTTTAAACTATACATCTCCAGAGAAATATATCACATTTTATAAGTCTTTAAATTACAATATATTCTACAATTCTTTGACAATTCTTGATTTTTTTAAATAGATCTTTCAATTAATCTAATGCTATCAGTTGACAAGCTATAACATCGCATATTTTTTTACTTTAATTATGATTGATTGTATTACTTGCGAATATAAACATAATAAAATTACGTATCGATCACGCGTTATGCCAAAATTAAAAAAAGAAAATGAGCTTTGAAGAATCCAATCTTCTCTCTTTCTCAAAACTATAATTATAGAAACAATTAAAGCTTGTTCAAAAGAGACAGACTTCTGAAATATTGCCGCTCTCTTTTTAATTTTGACGCATAAATTTTTTAGAAATTATTATTATATATATATTATTATATATAAATATTTTCATCTATAGATAATAATATAAATAATTGAAAAAACATAGTTTTTTCAGATTTTAAGAAAAAGGAAAATAGTAATCACAATAATTATTTTTGAGAATTAAAATTGACTCACGAGTGAATTCTCTTCATTCATTCTGCCAAAAAAGTGTTTTGATACAGTATTAAATATTATCGTAAGGAGAAAATAGTTATATATATTACGTTTAATTATTTTGATGAAAGGCTAAGAATACGCGATGCTCACATAGAGATAAAAAAAGATAGTTCATAAAGTTTCGTCGACGTGGACTGTTATTGTTTACACCGAGATGCCCAATACTGGTTTTCAAAAAGGATAACGCGCATCTGCCTAACATGATCGTAAAAAAGACATGACTCTTTGTGAAAACACTTAGTAATAGCGACGACCTACGAGAAGGGAAACTAGGTCAATCGTTTCGCGTATACGTGAAATACATAATTTATAAGAATTTGCGATTTTATTTATGTGATATTTTTATGATATACTTCATGTATAATTGAAGAAGCGATTAATTGAAAATCGCAATCAAAAAGCACGTATTACGTACACAATCATTTGGATTCGATATTTTTATAATAGAGTTGAAATTCTCTCTCAGATAAAATGAAATAAATTGTCAATAACAATAAATCCCTATTTAATTAAACAAGAGTGTAAATTTTCGAAATATTTATTCTTTTTTGATATAAAACAAAATTATATAAATAATGATACATATATAAGAGTTAATTTTCTTACCAGCATATTATAATAAATGTGGAATCGAAATATTTTGTGAAAATATTATACATATATTAATTTCTTTAGAATCTTGATAAAATTCCTCTCTCTATCTCTCTCTCTTTCAATAGCTTTCGTAGGTAGCGTCTATTAATTATATCGAAAATGATGTGCTAACTTTGTAAAGTGCGAAACTGCGATTAAGGATGTATGTAGTGAAAAGATGACTTAAGTATAGCGGTCATAAATCTAATAAATATCAGACGTGGTTTTGCCGCTCGTTACATAATCACCGGCCTCACATCGCGGACTAATTTTTCTCCTTGATGAATGCACAACGGAAACTCTCTGTCCAATGTATCGTCGTTCTCGGTAATGCATAAGCGTTATGCGCGAAAGTTTCAAGATGCAGGTAGATCGAGAAGGGAAAATTGATTTCGGTCATCGCCACCTGACTTTTTGTCGGAACCGCGCGTCTCGGTGCATCCTAATTCGATTTTAATACCCATCTAAGAGTCGCACGAGCTTGATATCCTCGACGAAGAAGCATTTCGTCGAGTCATGCAACAGCCGGGATCAAGAACGAATCATCGTGTGCGAAACGTCATCGCGAGTTGGAAATAGTGAGAGATTAAAACATTTATAAAGATAAAAGCGATTAAAGAATTTAAATAGAGATATTGATAGTAACAAGGTACCGCGTAAGGAAACTTGCGATTAATTGAAAATCGCAAGAAAAACACACATTGGTATTACTTGAAAACGGAAATGTATTAATTACATTTCCGTTTTCAAGTAATACCAATTGTTATTTGAATTATTCCATATACACACACATTGACAATTATAAAATTAAATAAAATATTGTATGATAAACAAGCAGGAAAATATTTAATTAATTCGGTATATCCGTTTAATATAAAAAATACTGTAACAAAAAAAATCTGCAATTAATATTTATAAATATAATTGAAGTTTAAATGAGAAATATTACTAATAATAAGATACTGCGTAAGGAAAAACTTGTAATAATGTTTCCAGAAATTAATAGGAATTGTTATTCGAATTGCTCCACATATACATATTAACAATTATAAAATTAAATAAAATGTATGATAAACAAGCAGCAAAATATTTAATTAATTCGATATATTCGTTTTATACATATAAAAAATACTGTAACAAAAAAATCTGCAATTAATATTTATAAATATAATTGTTATATTTATAAATATTAATTGCAGATATAAAAGTTATAATATAAAAGTTTAAATGAGAGATATTGCTAATAATAAGATACTGCGTAAGGGAAACCTTGCAATAATGTTTCCTCAATTAATAGGAATTGTTATTCGAATTATTCCACATATACACACCTAGGTAGCAGAGTGACGTCAAATGACATCTTAATAATGTTTTAATGACGTCTGGAGACGTCATCTTGTTACCTGAGCATTAACAATTATAACATAAAATTAGACATTGTATGATAGCAAAATATTCAATTAATTCGATATAGATCTACTCCATTTTATATAAAACATTATAACAAAAAATAAATCGTAAAATTTATTTCTTTGTGAATTCAAGCAGTGTCATGTTAATGAGATAATATCTGATTAATAATCTGGGAGAATATTTTTATTAAAAATAGAAGAGTTAAAATTAAATTCAACATTTTAATTAAATTTTTGCTTTTATTTATTATTTACGATTTTCATTTTTACTTAGTATTTACACATTTTTTCATGCCGTCTTTTTGATAACGTGATCGCACTTATTTTATTCATTTTTAATCGAAATAAAAATTGCGATTAAAAACGACAAGCTCGCTGTGTTAGTCATCTACACGAACGGCTCACATTTGAAAAAAAAATCAAAATATCCAACCATGGAGTATGTATTGCTATAGATACATGTTACTCGAAGCTCGCGGTAGAGGGGAGCGACCAATCAGAGTAGGAAGGAGTGGGGGGAATCGGTGACGAGCGGTCCGTCAGAAGCGAAATTCAGTTGGTTCGCGGAGCGCAAGCTGTCAACACTGCTCGGTATCGGTGCTCGTACGTGTTTTCGTTTCGCGAGTTTTTCCTCTACAACAATCTCCTTTTACGTACGACCGCGTGACGTCGAGCAAAATAATAGTCGTGCGAAGAAACATTGGTACGAAAAATCGTCCCACGCGCTCACGAAGGGAGGAGAGAGGGAGGAGAAACTCCGGCGTCAGTTACGTTCGACTTGACGCGCGGTCAACTTCAGAGCGATACCATCGCGAGAAGTGCACCGATGTGACGCGATAAACAAAGCTGCGTCACGAGGGGGCTGATGCCCCTGAGGATCCGTCGACGAAGATTTTGGATTCGCGCGCTTGCATCCGAATCTCTCCACATGTGTATTCGTTGACGTTTGAGCTGTATTCGTGATGCGATAACATTATCGGGTGAATCGAAACAATTCGGGATATTGAGTGTCGGAGACGAGAGTGGATTCGGGAAAGTGATTTATAGCGTCAATAGTGATCGTCGGTGCCGGCTTCTTGTTAGTGATTTGTGACAGAAGAGAGAGAAGAGGAGGAGGAGGACCACGCGGATCGGCGGAGATTAAGGTTTGGTGTGCTCCAAAGGGAAACCGGAAGCCGCTATATTGGAGAGGAAGCGGGAAAGCGGCGTGCCGCTCTTTTGTGTGCCGCGGCAGAGGCGCTCGTCCCAGCCCGAAAACGTGAGTCTTGTTTTTTTTTCATTCCCCTTTTGTGGGCTACAAGCCTGCGGCTTGTACGAGTCGATGTCAGAATTAAAGAGATTTGAAGGTTAAAGTACTCCAATAAAAGATAATGCTGATAACGTGACAATCTTAAATGTGTCAATTGTATCAAACGCGATGATTCATTCAAGAGGCATGATATATATCAAAGATTTCAATAATAATTATTACTTGACGATTTAAGGATCATAGGAATGTAAGACTGAAATAAAAGATGATTCAACTATTCTGACATCGATTACATTTATTACATTTAATTATACATTTAATTATAAGCAAAGGCTAAATGATGATTCTCTTCAATGATAAAAATTACCTAAATTAGAGGATACCGCGTTAATGAGTGCCGTATTCAGAATTAAAACTGCAGAGGAAAAGGGCAAGTTTCTCAAGCTGCAATTATTGCGCGAAACAAACGCCGGAAAACGTTCATTCGCGATGATTTGTTAGTCGCGTCCTTTAATTAGACAAAAAAAAATGAAGTCGAAACACGAGACATATAATCGCGGGGGACAAATAACGGGAAGAGCTCGCAATAAGATCCGAGAAAAAAATATCGTCGAGGAGAGGCACATCGGATATCGAATGTACCGCTTGAAAAAAATATGCTCGACCGGTACACGTGATATCGGCCGGAAGTAATTACGACGACGTCATAATTGGGTCGCGATCATGATTAAAACGAGCGTTGCCTTCTTCCCTCTCACCATGTTACTGATTCGCGATCATTAAGGGGTTATACCTACACACAGAGAAAAATGTATACTGTATACAAGTAAATATTATTTATTTTAAGTTTATCATAAGTTTGTATATCCGCAAATATATCATAAGTTCACCACAAACATTAAATTTAATTGAATATATTCTGAACTTTAGTAAGTGCAGTATTTTAGTCAAGAATATTAAATTAAAACAAAAATTTGGTTTGCTTCCTACAAGAGTTGACGTAAAATAAGTTTGATTTTTCTTTGATACAACTTTACAATATTCTTGAAGAGAAAATAAATTCTTCTTTTGAGTACATGATAATGAGATTTTCTAATAATTGTGATGAATATATTTTAAGACTATTATCAAGAATATATTCTTTATTGAAGAAAACTATTACTTAAAAAAAGAAAAATAAATTGAGTAATTTTTTGGCAGTAGAATGATATTTTTCTCTGTGTAGTCAGCAAGTCGATAAAAACGTATTTTTGGAGAATTAAAAAAAAAACTGTTAGATATTTTTATTTCATCGATTCTTTATCATAATATATATTTATCAAAGAAGTTTTCATAATTTTTTCAATTAAAAATATCGAGAAATGTAGGCACAGTAGCTATTTTCCAGAGACTTTTTTTTAGGCGCTTGAGCAAGATTGCTGGAGCTGGATCATCTAAAATAAAAAATTCAAAAGGATTTAGCTTTCGTATGAATTGATCTAGTCGGTGAACGAAGGGATTTTAATTTTGATGAAACCTTTTTTTTTATTAACAAAAGAATGAAAAGTTTTAACACGAAAAATGCGTATTTTTGCGTCAAACGTCTGTCACATTGTCAAAAATCAATTTTTTGTAAAATCCTTCGTTCACCGACTAGATCAATTCATACGAAAGCTAAATTCTTTTGAATTTTTTATTTCAGATAATTCAACTCCGAGCAATCTTGTCTCTGGAAAATAGATACTGTGCCTATTTTCTCGATATTTTTAATTGAAAAAATTATGAAAACTTTTTCGATAGATATATATTATGATAAAGAATCAATGAAATAAAAATACCTAACAGTTTTTTTTTAATTCCCCAAAAATGCGTTTTTTTCGACTTGGTGACTACATATAACCCTTTAATACAAGATGAGATAGGCCGAGTTGACGACAAGGTCGTCGGGAACCGATGATGACAAGTAAATCGCACGCGGCATAGAATCTTCTTCTCTCTCTCCTTCTTTTTCTCCAGTATAATTAATTTCCGCAATTGATAATCAGGAAGATGGAGAGTTTCCTCACGTGCGATTACCGTGGAATTACATGCTCAGCCACGGGATCATCGCGTGTTGCATTTCACGCAACTCGTCGACGAAACGACCGTTACCGGCCTGCATCGCCTTAATTTTCCATCCTCTAATCGCGTTTCGGTATTCTAGACTCCAGCAAAATCATGATACGTAAAGCGATAAAATTTTAAACACAGTCTAGTGTTAATTGTGCGCTGCTTCATATAATGCGTCGGTGTTTAACAAAGCGGAACTCGCTGAGAAATCTGGAAATTCCTCTAATAATTCCTCTAATAATTCCTCTAATAAATTCCTCTAATTCGTATTCCACAAATTTCGTTATCGTAAGGTATTTCTCCAAGTATTTCTCTATCGTTATACACCTATATCGCTTTTGTATTTATTTAGTTTTATATCTTATTTATATTTTATTTATATATCTCGTATATCATATATACAGGATGTCCCAGTTATCTTCCGTCATCTTTTAAAGATGGACAGATTCCTGGGATCATCTGAAGATGATTTTTCCTCAACGAAAATTATTAGTGTCGAGGCACTAATAATTTTCGAATTATAAGTGATTGGAAATAAGGGGTTTTTCGTAAACTAAGCTTTGTAGAAATAAAATATTAACAAAACCACATTCTTTGATTAAATAGAGTTTACTTTAGTTGAGTTTTAATTTGAGACTTAATTGCAAAGATATATGATGACAAAAATCGGGAACATGCAAAAAATGATGGCCTTCATTGACATTTTCTCTTAGGAAAAATCGTCTTTAAATGATCCCAGGCATCTGTCTTTGAAAGATGACGAAAGACCGGGACACCCTGTATATATCATACACTGAAAAAAAAATTTTGTTGAATATTGGCAAAAAAATATTCTGTTGTAGTAACTGTACATCGTTGTACTGAACTCTCTGTTTTGATGATTTAAATAAACTTTTTTTACATCAACAAATTATTTCGGAATATTTTAGTTATATTTATTTGAACGTATCGGACAATATATTTAGTTGGGCAAAACAAATTTTGACTTTTTCAACCAAGTTTTTTTTCAGCCTATATATTTATTATATATATATATATATATATATATATATATAATATATTTATTTGCATCTTATTTATATTATTTATTTACATCTTATTTAAGTATCTTATATATATCGAGTCTGATACACGAGAATCGACGAGTATCCTGTTGACCGAGATAAGAGGAACTCGGACATGCATATCTACACGATATATCCTTCTTTTTGCTTGTCAGGATATGACGTCGATTGTTGTGTGTCTCGATATCACATTTTTGTTACCCCGCCCACGTATCATTAACGGATCATCGTCGGATAATTAAGCGCTTCGCAAGCGCGCCGACACACGTGGGATGCTATTGCGTGGTCGAAAAGATCTGTCATTGCTCAATCACGTACGAGATCACTACGGCAATAATGAATCCCCTCGTCAAGATCCTCGTTAAGGTCCCTCCACACCTGAACTTTCAACAGTCGCGTGACTTTTTTTTTTCTTTGCGAGATCGAAATCTTCTTATCGTATCGTTGTTTTAGACAGACTGTTTTTATTCTAGTCTTCGAAGGACTTTATTCCTCGACAAAATAGCAATTTGCATTTAAATAACTTAAAAGTGTAAAAAGTGAGAAAAGATTTTTGGAAAAAGCCTCAAAGAGAATTTATTTGATCAATGGAAGTTCAGTGTAAGTTGTAGAGAAATGTAAAAAATGAAGTTTGAACGTGCTTACGTCATCTTTGATGTTGTCTCTAAATTATATATATTTAATAATTTGTTGATTACTTAAAACTCGAAGATAAGTAGTCTACATCAACGTAATAAATGATAATAAAACGTAATAAAGTAAAATAGTCAATAAAAGAAGGATGACTTAATCTCAGCGATCGAGTGAGTTATTATTTTCTTAGATTAACATATATGAGAAACTTAAACAATTATGAATATTTTATAATAAAAGCGTATTTAATAGAACAGCTGATTCTTCCATGAAATCCATAATTAACAAAAATTTAATTACAAAGATTTATTGATATACATTTCGAAAAAATTATTATTATTTGTCTGAATGAAAAAACGATACGATGTGAATGTATGATAATGATATATCGTCAATCAGCTGCGATCAATCATGTCGAGCGTTTGTAAGAATATCGTGAGTTAATGGCAGAATGGACGACCTTATCGTTTTCTTTCCGATCTGATTAACCTCACTGATCTTATTCGCCATCATTCCTACGCAACATAGCGAATGACCTCGTTTTTGCATTGTCGCGTTGTTCGTGAGAAAGAAATTTCTAGATCTTGCCGCCTGGGTTTTAAATTGAATTATTCATAGGCGAATTGCCGAGAAAGAGCAAGGGGATTTGTTTTTTAACGAGATTTCTATTCTTCCTGGTATCATTTTCCTCAATAAATTAAATATAATATACAATTACAAGAAAATAATTTTTATTATTATTTATGAAATTAAATCAACATCTCAAATCTTTTATGGAAGAGAATTAATTTCTCGATATAAATTGTTTTTCGTAAAATAAATCTCATTAATCTAGAGATTATTTCTAAATTAATATTGTTAAAAACTACTTGTATATTACATTTTTCTCGGCATTTGATCAATCATTGATCGAGCAATCATTTCTCACAGTTCTCAAGGTTAGCTTCTCAATCCATAATTATTCATTGATGTCTCGCGACGATAGATTACGTGGGCGATCCTTATATAGGCAACGTGGGCCGATAATGTACAAAGTCGTACGACGATCATACGTTTTTCACAAATTTATTCGCAAGATTGCTTTTAATGAGAGCCACGTGACGTGATTTTTGATGACGAATCAATGAAATCTTCCTTCTGCGAAAATCGATCTCCAGCTTTTTCGCATAAATGTTAATCAAATGTACATCACGACCGGGCAAAAAGCGAAATTATCTAACGTCA